CTCATCATTTTCCTTAGACGACTCCAATCAGGTAAATCCCAGAATTCAGCTGCCGGCCTTCCATTCATGCCTTGTCGCATTAGATTTATTAATATTGGAGATTTTGTCTTTGATACAAAGATGACTCGAAGGAACTGAAAAAATCTACACATACGTATACCAACAACGAACTCAATAGGGGTTAATATGTGTAGATTCATTTCCACTAAAAGTTTGCTTAAATAGAGTAGATACTTACTGTAAACTGGGTCAACGCACTCCAATATATTTGAAATCATTCGCATATTGGCTAAATTAAAATCTCAAATAATTGATAAGCTTGAAAATCTCAAATAACATTATAAAAAGGTCAAACAAGGCAAAAAGCATTTGGTATTAAATATTAGCATTCTTCAAATATGGATGTTGTCGAGCAGTACAAGGCTTTCCAAATAATCAAAAATCAGAGCATAATATCTCCATTTTGGGATAGAAAGCATGTTGAATTCATCAGTGGTGAGATTGAACAAAACAACTTTTCCTTCATGATTCACCGGTTCACCTCCAAATGGGTATTCAACTTCAAAGACGCTGCAAACAATTTCATTTCTCCAAATAATCTCAGGAACAATACTAAACGTGAATGGATTGGGTCTGCTAGTCTACATTTTAGTCCAATTCCATCTCTCCCTGCATGGATCTGTACACTCCTCCAGCACCCATAAATCAATCAAATATGATTCAGAATTTTTAATCACAGTAGGAGAAAGGAGAGCAAGTTTGTTCTGATACATAGTAAGGCTATGGAAACATGATTGAGAGGCAGAAGTCATAGTAGGAAACGGTATCAATGTGAACAGTTCCATTGCTATGTCAAATGAAACTATTTTTCTGCCCTCCTCCACACCTTCCTTCATCCCAACCCAAAAGATAGCTCCATTACAATTGAAAGCGCTAGGATGGCTAACACAGACACCCTCTAAGTTCCCGGGTTCAACATTTGTCCATAACCCTGTCCTTAATGCATACACTTCCACTCGAGCAACCAAAAAATCAGACATGAAAAGTTTCACTATCTTGTAATCATTGACGATTGAGCTGAACCCAAATCCTACAGAAAAGGACTCACCCTCATACTTGTTCAGAGATTTTGGCACTCGATGGACCTTTCTAATGGCTGGATTCCACAACCAGAGGGAGCGTTGAGATTCACCAAAGAGTTCGACGCAAAGCAAGCCATTACTGGAATAAAGCCCAGTCCCGTAAGCCATTAAGGAATCACTGACATTTGGGCTCTCAAATTCAAGAACTTGCATCTCACGATTAAACAAACACAAGTGCCAATGATTTCTTTTAGAGATATTATAATCGACAGCGAGTAAAGGGTTTTGCTGAGTGGAATGGTGGAGGTGTTGAGCAATGAAAGATGGGGTTTTAAACTTTCCTCCCAATCTTTACACGCACATTGAAATCGGATCAGGGATTTTACCGGGAGTCGCAGAAGAATATTTGTGATAATTTCTTGGGGAAGATGTGGTGTGTCTTTCTCCATCATTGCGTGCTCCACGGTGCTCGACTGCCGACTGGTCTAAAGGAGTCTCACGAGTCACGGCGGGGTGAGGCGCTAGCAGTTATATCAGTGGCAAGGCGGTTTGCCATGTGGAATGGAACCATTAATTAATTTTTTCAAAAAAATGAAAATAAGTTTAGTTTGTTCCTATTCTCATCATAAACGAAATTGGAGACAAGAAGATAACTTTAAATTGGAAAACTTTCATTGAACCTTACTGTAAATAATTAATATCAGTCATCCTTAAAAAAATTTTTGAAATTTCGTTGCACCTCTAAGAATCAAAATTTTAAGGGTCAAAAGATAAAAATACCTTTAGTTTATTTTTAAAAATTTTTTTTGTAAATCACTAAATTTCAATTACCAATTGTTGTCAATTTTATAAGTAAATGAATAATTCTGATTTGGCAATTCACAATTCAAATTCGGTGATTTAAAAAAAAAAAAAAGGTATTCACAACCCTGGGTGTTTTGGTGCAAATGAACAATTCAATTTGCAATTCACAACTAAAATTTAGCAATTTGAAACCCAAATTTTGATGATTTATAAGAAATATAAGAGAATTCACAAACTCTAAAGAGGTGTTCGAGTAACCCCAAAAGCACTTCTCAAAAATACCTTTATACAAATCAAGACAAAATTTCTTCACATAATTACTTCATATATTATAAAAGCACTTTTAAAGTAATAGTTTTGTTTCTACCCAAATACTCTCTAAATGTAATTTTGATTGGTGCAAATGAACAAGTCAAATTATGTGATTCACAGCTAAAATTCAGTGATTTGTTAAAAAATATAAGGAAATTTACGAGTCTAAAATAAAGTAATGATATTTTTGTTTATTCACCCATAAAATTTAAGTCCTTAAGGACATAGTAAAATTTTAAAATTTTTTTAGAGGTAATTGATATTAATTGTTTAGTAAGGGTTTGTTGAATTCTCCCTTTTAAATTCAAATCTAAATGCTAATTAACATATAACAATTAGGCAAAGTGCGTGCTCTATAAATGTCGGGCACTAAATATAATTATTTCTACTTATAAGATTTTAAACGTTAGTTTAATTCATTGCAAGTGACTAGCTATTTCTGTTAAATCAATTCTTATTAGTTGAAATCGCCTCCTTTTAACAAAGCCCCGCACGGCGCACGCTTCTTCAACTAAACTTGCGATCTAACACTCTCATTAAGGAGGATGATAAAATTAAAAATTAGGTTTTTTTTCTCGAGAGAAAACTTAGGTCAAGTGCCTTAGGTCTAGTGCACCAATAAAATGCTATTATCTGGATTATTTTACGCATCAACATTTAACTTTTTAGGGACTGTTTGGTATGAAAGAAATAGAGAGGAAAATTTTTTTTAATGAGCTCATTTTAAAAAATTAAAGAAATAGAATTATAAAATTTTGTTAAAAAAATACTTCTCCAATTCTTAATATAAGACCTATTTAACTAATTTGATTAGATTAAAGAAGTTAAATAAGTTAGTTAGTTATAAAAAATATGATATGCTTTCCTCAAACACTATGATCATATTTCTAAATATCCTCTTTCTTTCTTCTAGTTGATTATGATTGATAGAGTATCCATAGGGATAATTTAGAAAAAATTGATAAATATAAGAAATATGTCTTATATTTAAGACCAAAGTTAACTCAATAATTAGGTTTTATATTAAAGACTAGAGGAGTATAAGATAAAAGAGTAAGAAAAATTAATTAGAAAATTTTAACACCACTTTTCTAATTTTTTTTAAAATGAGCTCATAAAAATTTTCCTCTTCATACCAAACAAACCTTTAAACATTCTATTAATAAAGGATTAAGGTGTAAATTTGTTTCAAAAGTTTTTATTCATGAGTATTGGGTATCCAAAAGCTTTTTTGGAGCTAATTTTTCCTAAAAGTTTAAAATCGTAATAATATTGTTTCTTATAGTTAAAAATAGGGTTAAGATGCACCCAGCACCCCTAAGTATTTTGTTAGGTGCACCCAGTGGCCTAAAGTAATTTATGGTGCAATTTTGCCATCAAAATAATTAAAATGGTGTACCGGTATCCCATGCTAACAGATTTGTTACTTTAACCGTTAAATTGATGAGTCAGCATAAGTTTGACCAAAATAATCTGACGTGGCATGTCTAATAAGCAGGTGACGTGGAATTTTTTCGGGGTTAAGGTGCATGCACTCCCAAGTATTTTTCCAGGTGCACCCAGTGACCTAAAGTAATTTATGGTACAATTTTGCCCTCAAAGTAATTAAAATGATGCACCGATATCCTATGCTAACAGACCTGTTACTTTGACCGTGAAATTGATGAGTCAGCACAAGTTTGACCAAAATAATCTGACCTAGCATGTCTAATAAGCAGGTGACATGGCTTTTCTTGTTAATTCTATTCTTTTGTCTGAATATTACTCCTCTGGTCCTATTTATAAGGCACTTCCAGCATGTTTTACATAGACCAAGGAAAAGCTTAAATTTCATTAACTCTCATTTAAATTTTAATAACTTTTCAACTTTATCCCTATTTAATATACATTATACCTTATATAAACAAAGTCAATACAATAATAAATGAGGAGTAAATTTGTACATTTACATAAAAAATTTCTCTCAGTGCCTTATAAATAAGACCAAAAAATATCTTCTCTCTCTACCCTATAAATAGGACCAGAGGAGTATCTCTGAAAAAATTTCTTACTCTGAAAAAAATTCCAAAAGCCGAAGAGAGCATTTACTGAACAGAGAAAACAAAGCAGTGGCAGATGAAAAAAATTTCACATCACCTGCTTATTAGACATACCAGGTCAAATTATTTTGGTCAAACTTGTGCTGACTCATAAATTTCACAGTCAAAGTAACAGATCTGTTAGCATAGGATACCGGTGCACCATTTTAATTATTTTGAGGACAAAATTGCACCATAAATTACTTTAGGCTACTGGGTGCACCTGGAAAAATACTTGAGGATGCTGGATGCACCTTAACCTTGAAAAAATTCCACATCACTTGCTTATTAGACATGCCACGTCAGATTATTTTGATCAAACTTGTGCTGACTCATCAATTTAACGGTCAAAGTAACGGATCTGTTAGCATGGGATACCGGTGCACTATTTTAATTATTTTGGGGCCAAAATTGCACCATAAATTACTTTAGGCTACTGGATGCACCTGACAAAATACTTGGGGGTGCTGGATGCACCTTAACCCTTAAAAATATTAACAGTCAACATTATTATTTTAACGGTTAATATAATTTTTTAATGGTAGGAGGCAATATTAAGTGAAAATTTTCAAAAATAAATTTACACTATTTAACTGTCCAACTCCAACCTATTTCTATTCATATAATCCAGTTCCTTCAAAAGCCATTTCATCGTCAGGCAAAAAAAAAAAAAAAGACGTTTCATCGTACCAAACGGGCCTCTCCGAGTCTCGAGAGAGGGAAAATGAAGTTTAACGTGAAGGCTTGGAGCGGCGGCGCGCGCGTCGGAGTACTGGAGATCGGAGGCTGTGCGAGTCCTATAGAGACGCCTGCTCTTCTCCTATCTACTCGTAAAGGCCTCCCTCACTTCATCTCCCCAGACCTTCTCTCTTCCCTCCCTTCTCCTGATTGTCGTCTTCTCCAAGTTTCTCCACTCCACTTGTAAGCACCTCACCCAACCTCATTCGTTCTTTTCATTAAATTTGTAACTAAAAGTGTACCTTCTGCTTTATCTCAATAGACATATATACTTTGGCATCATGGAAGATGAACATGAAGTTATGTAAAGAAATAGGTCCTTGTGTAAAAGGGACCTAACCGTGTAGTTATTATTAAAAAATTAATCACTACTGTAATGTTGCTTGTTTTCAACTTGGGATATCATCATTTTATTCTAAATGTATTTGGGGCTTTCAGTTTTGGTAGTTTTGGTGATTGCGTGATCATGCTTTTGTGACTAGAGTTCATCATGGTCTGTAACCATAGGCAACAAACGGGTTGCATTATGACAATAGTGGTGTTGGCGTGTGCTACTTTGGGGCAATTATCATGCTATGGTGAAGGTGGAGTTGGTTGAGAAACTCTAGAACTGAAAGTGCATTTTGGTTGTAATAATCATGGTTGCAGCAACATTGTGGTAACCAATTTTTACTGGAGGCATTTGGTGCAGGACATCAATATAAATAAGAACACAACAGAGATGTTGTTTTTATTTTTTAAAGTTGAGAGATTTTGAGAGAAAGCAGCTCTAATTTTTATTCATGAGATAGCAATTACATATATATAGAGGAGTAGAAGAGATGTAATCAGATCTAATCCCCTAAAATCCTCCTAGAATCATGGGATACATAAACTGAAATGATACGTAATAAATCCTCCTAGAATCATGGGATACATGAACTGAAATAATACATAATAAATGCAGATATGATCCTAGGAAATAATCACTATATTCTTAAATAGGAAAACTAGGTTAACACATCGGAAGAGCCCATATGATGACGGCAGGCCCATTACCAACAAAAGTTTAATGTATGGGTACTTCTTACATAGGAATTTCCATTGAGGTCCCTTAATATTTGAATTTATCTTAACTAACCTAACATGTTTTATGTTTAGATTAGCTCCTAATGTAGACAAGTTCGGATTGCTGACACTACCTAGTGGGATAAGACATGTTTTTTTGGCCAACATATAGTACTTTATACTTAGCTGATCACATGTTTGGTTTGTGATAATAGTATTATTAATGCAGCCTAAGCCCATGTATACTAAATTTTATTGGTCTTTAGGTAGTAACCTTCATTTTTAGGCTCTTTTCCACCCATGTTTGTGAAATTTAGTACTGTTTGCTAATTACTAATTAGAATTTTTCTCCCCTTGAGTTTTGTTGCTTAGCCTAGAGGCATTTTGGGCCCCGTGGTGAGAATTGGGTCTCAGCTGCAGATCATTTCATTTATTAGGTATAATGTGTATTCTTCGTTTCACCTAGAGACTTATATGCCTATGAAAGGGCCATCTTGAATTCTCATCCATTTCAAAAATGCAAGAAAATTATACCTGGTCTAATTTCTTCTTCAAATAAAACAAAAGGAAAAATTAAACTGAAAAATAAATTAGAGAAGAAGAATAATACAAGGTACATTGGCTTTCGGATCTAATTGCGTGTGCTTTTCTTTTTAGAACAATTGTGTAAGATGAAGTAGTCACTCATCAGTTTTAGACCCACCAGATCTTTGAGTGCAAACTGCAAATGAGGAAAAAATGGCGCTCAGGAAATTCATTCCTGTACAGAAATGTTAGCGATTGCTATATTATATCACCGGTTTGTGTTGAGTAACCTATCCCAAATGTGCTTCTGCAGTTTGGAAGGACTTCCTACAAAAAATATATCAAAAATAGGGGGGCTCCATCGATTGCTCAGTTTGCATGGATATGGAATTGCAGCTGTAGTTAGGGATTCTATTAGCTGTCTTCCTGAGTGTATTGGAAGTACCAAACTTGGGGCATCTTTTGAAACCCCCTGTGGTCGTCTCTTGGTAAAATCAACATGTACTTGCTGGATAAATTGATTATTTCATTGTTTTTGTTTTGAATAATGGTGAATGTAATGAAGGTTATTTATTTTGACAGATTAAACCCAAAGATTATATGGAAATGATTTCACACATGAGGCCAAACATATGGGTTGCTTTGGCTGATGAAGTACCTGCTTGGGTATCAGATAAAAGGAACAAGACCTCAGTAGACCGAACTGTCAGATGGCTTGATGACTGCCTTGCATTGAATCTGGTAAAGGAAAATGCATGATTACATGCTATATTTTTATTCGTCTTTCTGTTAGAATGGAATGAAGTTCCTCATGAATTAATTATGGTTGTTTGGTTCAAGATGGTTGGAAGGATTTCCTTTTCCATATTATCTGTTTTGCTATGATTTTAGCATTACTACTTGAATGTCCTTGATCTTTTAATAATCTAGGCTTGTTCTTTTTTATTCATTTGGTAAGTCAACGAGTTTGTTATTTTCTCTTGGCTCCGTGGATGATGAAGAAAATTCAGAGTAATTAGAGCTCTGAAATCTTAGGTTATTCAGTATAGAACAGAAGCATCGATTTTTTTAAATTAAAATAAATTTAGTTTGTTCCTACCCTTATCATATATGAAATTGAAGGTAGCAGGATAAATTAATTTTAAATTTAAATCTAATTGCTATCTAACGTAGCAATTACATAACAATTAGTTAGCGTCTGTACTCTGTGTTAGAGTTGCACAGCACCTGGACTCCTTCTAAGGCCTGAAACTCCCATGCCTATTTTTAATAAAGGCCCACATGCTTCTTGAGTGAATGGTGCTGTTTGTTAGAGGTTTTATATTATATCTAGATAGATATATAAATTTGTGGGACATATCAATTACAAGTCATACTCTTGCTCTCGCTTTTCATCATAAGTGGGAGGGAGAAAAGAATTGCAACGCATGCTTCATTGATTGACTTAGGGCTTACCATTCATCCTTGCAGCCTAAAGTATGAGTTTTCTAATGTCGTCTTGTCAGCTTTGTTTTGACATTGGTCATTGATAAGTTTGTTTATAGTATATTCACTTTGTGAGTAAGCACTATGGCATCGATGTGATAGAATTAATTAAAATGGACATGCATTTATCTTTCAAAATCCAGGAAGGCGGATGTGCCTTTGGTGCCATTGTTGGAGGTTCATATTTGGAAGAGCGGAAGCATTGTGCAATGGAGGTAGCCAAGCGAAATGTATCAGGTTCTTCCTTTTTTCTGAAAAGATAACGAACTATGTTAACATTTTATATTATTTTATTATTTACCACATGAGTTTCAAACGTACTGAAGAATTATGCAAAGATTTTGGAACGTACCATTAAGTAATTATTGGATAAATATTACACACCATTTATGTCTATTTACAGCTCGAGTTTTGTTGGTAGTGAAAAATGATATAAATATGGTGAAATTTGCTACTGAGTAATTATTACAGACCAGTGATCCCTTGTTAGCCTAGATTATGGTAGATGCAGCTCATCTTTTGGATATGGGACAAACTGGTTTACTCTGACATGTCTATATAAATTTATGCATCTTTCTTTTTCCTTGTCTTCTACTGTTTCTCAGACGGAGTGATCAGTTATCATTGGTCCTTTGATATGTTGCTATGAAGTATTACTACTTAGAGACTTGTATTTTCTTGGTTAAGAATATCTTATAGTGATTAGTGAAAAGCTTAGTAAACTAATACATTTTTCCTATAATAATATTGGCCCCTTTTTCAACTAATATTTTCATCTTTTTGCATGGGTTTCTGTCTGGAGTGGAAGAAAAAAATTCTCTGAGTGTATGACTGAATATCTTTTATTTCCTCTTATCACTAGTCACGTAATCCTTTTTCCTTTTATTGTCTCACAACCTTAACTGAATACAGCCTTGGTAACGAGCTGGAAATGTGACATTGTACTTAATTACTTATATTACGTCCACAATTTCCATACTGACTGACTGTTGGTTATCTTAAAGTTGAAGCGGCCATTTTCTTGAGTCATAATCACACATTTCGGTTTTCAAATAATTATCCACATATATTGTTGTGGACAACTCAATAATGGAACTGCAATAATTTATGCAGGTTATTGGATTGGAGGTTTTGGGCTTGGAGAGAGCATTGATGAACGACCTCCTCTTCTTACTGCTATTATGGTAAGATGCTTTGTGTTTCTGAAGTGGGAACTAAAGCCTAATATATATTAATTTAGTTGGTGCCTGGAGGAGCCCCAAGCTAAAGCATAACATTAGATAAGTATTTTAACTTCTCTGTAGAGTGGATATTATTGATGCTGATATGAGCTACTATTTTCGAACCACCTCAAACAATCTCCTACCATTTTCTCTTCAATAGATACCATGCCAATTCTTCCTTGTACGTGTTCAGTACAAATTTTATCTTTAGTTACATAAAAAAACATTTTGGTCTGCGTGATTTGGTTAGTTGTTACTTATATAAAAGATCAAAGGGAGAACCTTATTAGGTACTTTTTTTTATCATAAATAACTTCGGTAGCATTTCTCCATTTGAACCACCCACCTTGATTTCTAGATTACACATCTCCACAAGTTCACCATCCTTTTGTACAATTGATTCCAAATATCTAAACTTTGTTACCTGTGGAGTGATTTGATCTCCCATTTTAATCTCAAAATCACTTCTAACTTCCCATCTCATAAAAAATGAAGTGCACAAATGGGAATATTTTGATTAATTATGGAGATAAATCGGCAGATGTATTCTATGGTGATATTTACTCGCATATTTTCTGAGTTAGCACCTCTCATGCCACGGTATAATGTTAGTGACATGTCGAGTTTGAAAAAGCTTGGTTTCCTTTTATCATATTATCTGTGTCTTTTCATCATTCTGTAGATAAATTTTGCCCATTTACGTTCCAATTTTTTTTTTTTGGGGGGGTGTTTGGCTGTTGAAATGCTTTCAGGACTCCTCAAAATGTTGCATCACAATTATAAATTCCCATATGCGGTTCAAGTTCTGAGAAAATATTCCTAAAGAATATTGCTCTGCTAGGTATCCAATATTCTGATACATGTCTCATTTTCATTTTTTTAAATTTGAAATTCAAAAGTTTCTTCTTTTTCATTTTATTTTGACATGGGAGCCGTACATACAAAGGAGATTGTGGCTTTACAAGTCAATCAACCAATCATATATCTAAAAGAGAAACAGAAGTTAAAAAACGCATAATATAGGTAGCATGATACGCAGAAATTGGAAGGAAAAAAAAACTAAGTTGACTAGATTACTGGAATGCTGAAACCCCGTGTGATGAACAAACCGGGGGATAATCAGAAAAAAAAGGGCTCATGATGAGCACATAATTATGAGGTTCCAACACTCCCTCTCAAACTAGGTTACTTAGGAGTTGGGACTTATTATCTTCTCAAGTCTCGAATCCCACTTGACCATCAGACCTGAAAAATCTTCTCTGAACTGTTGAGCAGTTTTTTGCAAAAATTTTCATTGCTCTCATGAATATAGACTACTTTCAAGTTGCCAGAGCTCTGGCTCTAGAGACACTTAAGTTATTAAAGGTCTTTTAATCCCTCAAACAAAACTTTGGAGAGGTGTTTTCTTATTAATTTTCTTTGACACAAAGCCACATGCGCATACAAGCTGCTGCTTCTTGTTTTTTCTTCTTTTTGTGAAACTCAGGCATGTTTTATATTTGAACATAGTGGTAGAAAATTGATGTTTTCTTTGGCTATCATGGATAACATGATGACTTATTCTCAGGATATCTTGCCAGATGATAAGCCACGCATGGTCTGTGGGCTTGGACTTCCAGGTACCTTGTTTAATGTAGCTAATTCTTTTGGTTCATTGTCATTAATTTTTTATGCAAAATGTCATATTTAGTTGGTGTTACGACCCACCTACTGGGTTTGGCATTTTAAGTGGCATGATCATATAGAGTGAGGGAGACATGGTTTTAATTCAGCTGATGGTTGACCTAGGAATGGGTTAGTAAGTAAATAATTCATGACTATCATTTTATTCATCTTTTTCTTATCCATATATTAATATCTGTTCTTTAAAATGTTTATAAGAAAAAAATGAAATTCCTTACAAGTGTGTTCTTTCTTTATTCAGCCAGAATGAATAGAAATTTATTTCATGTAAAAATAATTTTAACTTTACAGAGGAGGTCTTGCAAGGAATAGCTGCTGGAATCGATCTTTTTGACTCAACGTAAGTTGCTAAGCCTACTTTATATTTTTACCTACAACAACGCGATCTTTACAGTATTTTGTTCTATTATGAAATTAGGATGGTTGATGAGATAATTTGCAGGTACATATATTCCCTCACACTTGGAGGATATGCACTTACCTTTCCACTGGACAAAGATGGGAATCGTTATAATCTGCAGTTGAGTCAAATAGGAAGTGACTCGACCAAAATTAATTTAAGAGCTACTGTTTATAGGTAACATGATAAACTGTTCAACATTTTTATTTTATTTTTTTATGTTTTAGTATGCTAATACTGGTATGGGTTTGAAATTTTAATCAGCAGGTAATGTAAAGTGACACTAGTCTTGAGGTCAATGCAAAATATTATTGGGTCATTCTTGTTAGTAAATCTAGATGTTTTGGGAACCCTAATGGAATTTGTGTCTTTTAGTGGCTCAAAGACTAGAGTTATTCTTGTTAGTAAAGTGGCACTAAACCTGAGGCCAATGCAAAATATTAACGTTCAACGTTCAATGTTCACTTGTTGCTGGCTTTATGACAGTTTGATAAGCTTTCCTTTAAGCTTAAAAGGTTTATTATGGTCATAAACAACTTATGATGCCTTTTTTTTTTAAAATTTTTTTTTTTAATTTCAACCATCCAGTCCTACGCATAACATTTTTATCAATTTCACTGCCATTTTGTAATATGATTCCAAAGACCTAAATTTTGACAGTCGTGATATTTATTGGTAGTATTTTGTTTGTACGAGCTCCGTTCTACAAGAGAATAGTGTTATTTCTGAACTATGGAGCTAGTTTGTTTTATTAACTCGTAATTATAGCCATTGGAATGACATTTGAACTAAATTTGTGTAGTAACTTTGAACTCATTTTAAGTGATGGAAATGCTATAATTATAGCTACTGTCTTTTTAATTTTTTACCCCTTCCTTTTCATGCAGGAAAGACATGTCTCCCATTCTAGGAAACTGCACCTGCTATACATGCCAGAACCATACCAAAGCATACATCAATCACCTACTCAACGTTCACGAAATGCTGGCACAAATCCTACTAGACATGTATGAATATCTTTGCTCAGATACTCTCTCTACTCTTATTTGTAAGCAACTATTAACAACTTTACATGGATTAAAGAACTTAGTTAAAATTAGTTATTTTTGGTAAAATGTCAAAATTACCCTCAATATAGTTAGTTGGGGATTCTATGTGGAAGAAATTAATGCTTCAAAAAGATATGTTATGCCATGAAACACGTTGAATTCCTGATGACAAGAACCAGGTGAGTAATATTGTTACAAACGGAGTTACCATAAATCTGTGCTCTGACATATTAGTTCTGGGGTATTGCACTATTTCTGGTTATAATGGCGTTGATAAATTTATTATATTGAATTTTGCAGCCACAATACACACCACTATTTGCTGTTCTTTCGTCTGATAAGGGCAACGATCAAAGACGGAAGCTTTGAACAATTTCGGCAGACATTCATAGAGAGCAGGCGCAACCATTTGAAAGGGGAAGCTGTTCCTGCTTAGTGCATCCTAATTTTGCAGAAGATTTTGCTTTTAGGGTTTATGCTTAACCTGACGAGGATCTCATGTATCATACAGAGCTTAAGAAATGAGTTGTATTATAGCATGTAGATTTGATGATCTTTTTGGACCCAAAACAGCAAATTGTATGTTATGCGGCTACATTAGTTCTCTTCGTTTTTCCTTTTTGTCTTCGGCGTTAAAAACGTTAGTTATGTCTTACAAGTTGCTTGTTAATTTGTTATTATGTACCCTCTCAAGTAATTAATATAGAAGTTATTTAATTAATTTAGGTATATTAAAAAAACCAAATAAATTGGCTAATTATAACAAATGTGACATGATTTTTTTTAAAGTATTCTTTTATAACATTGGATTATTTATTAATTTATAAGTTAAATAAATTCATTCAGATAGAAATGATCAATATGATAAATAAATTGGATTGAGATTTTATATTTATAATTAAATTTAACATTATAACTGGCTCTTATATAAGATATTCGAGAAAGTATTTCACTTATATTAAACCACGTCAATAATGTGATTGCGCAATTTAGTTCCCCAAGCATATTTTTCTGGATTGTATGTTTAAGAATAAAACATAAGTAGATATTTCAATGAACACACGATGAAGGTGCTCATGTACTTACCCATGAACTTTTGTTCCTATATGTATGGTATAAAGCTGATAATATATATATATATATATATATGTATATATATGTGTATATATGTATGGTATAAAAATGTGAAGGGTTCTTTTTCTCTTTCCCATGTTTTTTGGGTATTTGGAGGAAATTAGAGTTAGTTATATATGAAATATTGTATGAGTGGGACTATTTACTAATTAAAATGCACTTCGTGTATCCATTAGCATTTGCAATATGTTGGCAAAAATAAAAAATACAAATAAGCATTTGAAATATAATTGAACAATTAAGCATCCTCAAGTATTAGACAACAATAAAGAAGCAAACTAGAAGATGAATCTTATTATTGTTTCTGTTGCTGGCTTGCTGCAGCCACTACAAAAAATTGCATTATTTTATTTATGATTATGATTTAGAAATATAATGTCTTGAAATATTTTTATTTAAAAAAAATAATTTAAAGGACTATATAAAATATGGATGCATTTTAAAAGTTCATTTAATTTTTTTTTCCTCACTGGTTGTGGTCGGGCCTGGGGCCCTGGACTAACTCACAATTTTATGAAAATAAGAAAATTTTATATGTAGAAAATAAGAAAAGTGTTATGAAAATAAGAAAAATATTATATGTAGAAGATAAAAGAGAACGGAAGAGAAAGAGGGAGTAATCTTTTATTTACTTCAAAAAATAAATCTACATAATTGTAAAATACAAAACATTTGGAGATTATGTCTATCTATCTATTTAATCATAGAAAATTCCTAAAAAGCCATTCATGTTGTAGGTTGGCTTTTAGTGTGAAATGTCAACAGATAGCTTTTGAAAGGTTATGAATATCTACACTTAATACTGTACTCTTTCGGTTCATTTTTATAAGAGGCAATTGTCCAAATTAATTAAAATTAGTTAAAAATAATAAATATATAAAAAATGTAATATTTTTGCCAAAAATATTTTCATTTATGTGGAAGAGAGAATGTATAAAAATTAAATATAATGAGCATTATTTAATAGAAGTAATATGAGAATTCAACAAATAAAATTTGAAATAACCTTTAAATGTTTCTTGTAAAAGAAAAGATGCACCACTTCACAATTGTCCCTTGAAAAAAAGGAATGGAGAGAAGGAGAGTAATATTTATAACAAAAAGCAAGTTTTTTCTTTTTATCTAATATACACATTTTTTTAAAATTTTGTCACTCAGTATTTTCATAAAAATTTGTTAAATACTACTATAAAAAATAAAATCTATTTTCCTTAAACTTCTGTCTTTCAATTTTTGTGGAAACGTTAAAAATTTGAAAAAGGAAAAGAAATTTTGGCTCTACCCCTGCCTTCTTAATATAGGCACATCAATATATATCGTTGGCAAAAATGTAGATAGATTAATAATTTTCAATGCACTTACTTCGAATAAAAAACTCAAGAAATCGTCACTATATTGCAGTTCCTGGGGTTTCTGGAGCTTCTGTGCCTTGCTTCTTCTCCATAGGCTTTACTAGGTGTTTGAGCAAAGTAGGCATTTCGTGAGATATGGAAGACATAGAGGATCTGTTAATTGGAAGCGGGGACGGATCTCCGCCGGGTTTTCGCTTGCCCGTAACCTCCGTTGGAATGAACCCAAAGAAGAATAGGAACAAGGGTAATCTAAGTCACAAGCTTTCTCAAATCCATGACTCCACTTCTGCTAGCTCGTTGTCCCCAAAAATCCCCGGCACTCAGGTCCATTCTCATTGAATCTCTCTCCTTCCTCCTTCTTGAAAGTTCTTGACTAAGTTTGTCTGTGTTGATGCTGCAGACCATATTTATAAAGACCTTCGGATGCTCCCATAACCAGGTAATGCTCAATTTGCACGATTCTTTCTTTTCTTGAGCAGGCCTTAAGCTACTTCACTGCTAATTGTGTGTTGGTTTACTGAAATGTTTTCAATGCTCTTGAGGATAGTTGGGTATGGTTTCTGGAGATTGCCCTTTTTAAGTTCATAGTTTATTGTACTATCAATTTTTAATGTCGTAATCCTTATTTCTTGATAGAGCTATTGGCTTATTGAGCTAGACCATAAAGTATTTATGAGCTAATATTAAAGGTGAAGAGTGCATAGCCAGTCCCATGCATATTAAAACCCCATGCTCGCACGCACCCCCACGCATCTTCCTACGTTACATCCAGCTCTGATTTAGGAACTGATCATGCTTCTTTAGAAGCTTTTTCTTCGTTGTATGAACTTTTGAGGGTGAGTATTGTACCCTGTGTTTAATTGGTCTCAATCAATAATTTTCATGTACTGTATGAACAGAGTGATAGTGAATATATGGCTGGTCAGCTTTTAGCATTTGGCTATACCTTGAGCGATAATCCTGAAGAAGCAGACCTATGGCTGATAAATACGTAAGGCCTTTAGCTTTCTCACTCTGTTTCTGTGTTTTCCCCCCTGTAATTTTTTATCATACATTATATTGAGGCAGTAAATTGTGAAACTAAATCATATTTTAGTTCATGGCTTAAGTTTGATACCTCCCATATTTCTATTCCAAAGTTTCTGAATTTTACATGATAGATTAATCAATGAATTTATTAACTCTGAATTGAATAGTCTTCCATTTTTTGGTGTAATTCTTGAGCATGCAAGGAGGCCCAACATCTCAGGACCATCAACTGATGCTAATGAAAATAAAA